TGTCTTTTTATTCCGAAAACGAGTAACAGGCGAAGGTTTCTTGTTACTTTGACTAGGACGCCGCCTCGTACATGTACGTCATTTATTAAGAAAGTTACGCGCGGGAATCAGAACTAAATAAAAATCATATTAACATGTTAACCTTGTCTCTTTATTATTTAAGACAATAGATTTGATCCAGTTTGACAAGCTACCAGCAGGTAATCTAATATGGCACTTCGATAATGATTCTCACTGTATTTTAACACGAACGTGAGGAAATAATTGAGCGAGAATGAAACTGAATCTTTGTGTTATTTTGTCTTCTAAGGTCAAAATGCAACAGTGGCTGTTATGAGCTATAGTGGATACGATATTGAGGTAAAAGCAAGAGCTGCTTGTTTAACATGGATGTCAGTAATTAATCTGCATCTAATCTATCGATACTCTCAAACAATTTTTAAGGAGAGCATTATAGAGCCGTTATGAGTGAACTAAACACATAAGTTTAATCTCTGTCTCTTTGAAAATGTTTCTAATCCTCAGCGAAGATTTCATCATTGAAATAACTTCTCATTTTATTGTTAAGAATTGGAGCCACAAAAATAAAATGATTTTTGTCGTACAGTCGCTAAAACACCTTAGGACAATAAATTCTCGTGGCATCCAATAGCCCTTTTCACGGTTAATTTTTCTCATTTGCATTACAGTGTAATCCAACGTGGGTGCGAGGCAATTTCGGGTTAAAACTACAAAATAGCCTGAAATTGCCTCACATACATGCTAGATTTTATTAACGCGAATATATGATATAGCAACAATTTCACGTTTTAAGGTATCTATCCTTAAACTTACTTAACTTTAACGTGAGGCTGTGTTTTGTTTCAGGATGCTCTGATTCTTAACAAATCTTCTGTTGACCGAGGTACGATCTATCATCCTTGAAATCTTCAGTCTGAGTGCTTTTCACAGCCATTCTGTTCCACCAAAGATGACGGTAAAAATGACAGCAGCAGCGAAATTTATTTGTCTAAGTTTTTTTTTGTTTTTCATCCAGGATTTGGACGTTGTTTAGTATACAGGAAACAGACTTGCTTGTTAAAAAGATACGCAAATCAGGTATGTAAATGTCAAGTATTCGCTGTTGAATATTAGGCACGTGGGTTTGTGTGGGCTTTACCGGTACTAGGTTACTTGGAGGGGAAGTGATGAGAGGCATCTAGGCTAACAGTTGTGTTTACTAATTATGTCCACGTGCATAGGCTTTTGTACACCTTAACAAAACGCTTGGCTAAAAGTCAAACTAATCAACTAGGAATTGACTTGGTAGAGGTAAATGACGAAGGAAGGTTGTACATGTTACTGAACCTCACGTTCTGGTCGAGAAAGCAGCAAATATATCGTGATTTTGAGAAATGTCACAGAGCTTTTCAATTGACCGTATCCGTATCCTCGGTATAGGACTGGAACTAGCCTGCACGACAGCACCTGAGGCTTATGTGGGAGTGTTTTTAAATGCAAATGACATTAATCTCTTTTTAATGATATTGCCCCACTGAGCTTCCATTGCAAACTAGTTCCAGTCCAATACCGGGAATACGAATATGGCCTTTTTGTAAAACATGTCTCGATGTCACTCACATCTTCGTCACTTACAAGAGTGTTTGAAAAAAAGCGGTTGATCCCCAGAAAAGCCAATTTAAATCAGCGCGCCAATTTAACACTTAATTAATTAATTTTTGTATGTAATTCTAGGAAATCTTGATTAATAGATCGTATTTCTAACTTAACAAGTGTGTGGCCGACATCATAAAGTGTAATCATTGAAATGCAAGCCCACTGAGCAGTACTCTTTATCTTTTGCTCTAAGTGGAAATTTCAGATTTCTACTGCGGCACATTTGAGAGAAAGAGATTTACTAATGTTTATTTTTGATTTGTTACGTTTGTTTTTCTTTTCATCTGGTCGTCACTTTCATCTCCAAGACATTTGATCGTGTTATGGGTAAGAGGTCTTTTTGTAAACTTTTCACAAGCCACTGTGAATATTCCAAAATATACAACGCACATACATCCGGGAAGATAGCCAGGCCATTTTGCAGGATGTACACAAGTGAAATGCTGTATCGTCGTCTTTGTTTTATCGGCCTAATTCTGTGTAGTTTGTTATGTTCGTTACGCCATGTTTGATAATTATATCTTATTTTAATATTTTACTTTTACTTTGAAATAGCTTTGAAGAAAATAGATTTTACAATTGATGAACATATGGATTTTTTCCCTTTAATCCTTTTAGGTCCCAGCAGAGATGCTATTACTGGAGAGGTGATCTGGAGACACAGAGCGCTGGATGCTGATGGAATATGTTCTCCAGGTAGCTGAATAAGTAGAACCTCTTTAAGCCAAGCTGGCTTATAGCCTTCGGTGCTTAACTCCCGTTTCTGAAGCATGAAGCAGCTAGGAATATCAATACTCTTCCCTGGATGGAATGCAAGTCCATCGCATTTTTTTTCTTAGCATTCTGTCAGGCTGCCCCTACAGTTCGCCGGTACCCTCTCATACTTCTAGGTGGAGAGAGGCACTGTAAGATTCAAGTGTATTTCCCAGAAACACAAAACAGTGACCTCGGCCTAGGTTCGAATTTGTCGTCATCAGGCCGCCTATTTCCCTCTTCCAGGTGACCCAGTTCATATATAATGGAGCATGGTAGGATTTGACTCTTGTTCATCGAGCTTTGTTGCCGAATTAAGGCACAAGACACGAAATCCACAGTATTTTTCACTGTTAGGCAACTAGGCAACTAATGAGGGTCCAGTCCTTTGGGATACGAGTGGATCAACTTCACACCAGCCGGCTCTGTTTTTTTTTTTAAAGTTGTTTACAAGATGGTGGATTTTGAGTTCCTACAAGATGGCCCTTCACAGTGTTTACAAGCGCGTGACATTAGCTTTCTTTGTTCTTGTTTTCCAGGCGAGAGGATAGAAAACAAACAGGTTCTCGTCAACAAGTCCATGCCAGTAGTTACCGCCTCAGGAATTCAACCAGGTAGGGCCGCAATGTTTTCACTAGTAAGGTATTCTGTACTGTAAGCCCAAATCTCAGTTGTTGTGTGGTTTATTTGCAGTGACGCCAGGTCAGCCCCCTCCTCAGCCACAATACAGAGATGTACCTGTGTCGTGAGTACTCGTTGTCTCAAATATATTTGGCTTTACAGTGTAGTTCTCGTCATGGCTCGCTCACTTAAGGTGCTAGTTCACGTTGCCTAAGAAAATTGTTTCTTTTCTTTTCTTCTTTACTTGCCTGTTTATTTTGATGAACAATACCTTGCAGCAAATTTTGGATCATTTTTCCGTCAGGTACAAAGGACCAAAAGATATTTACATTGAACGAGTTCTGGTGACATCTAATGCTGAGGAGGTGATATTTTTGTTCCTTCCATTTCAGCTTCTGATAAACTGGTGATGAACGCTGTTATTTGGTGCTTTGCACAACGAAGAAACAAATAGTAAATTTGAATTAGCAGTTGATAAAGTAGACGTTATCATTATCTAGATAACAGAGCAAACAGTTTTTCAAACTGATAACCGTTTGGCATGCACCAAGTTTAATGCCTAGTTTACATGACTGCTTCAGCGTGTCTGCTGTAAGTAAAGGAATTATCTCTGCTTTGGTCTTATCAAAATTCGTCCATTCTTTTATACCATTTTATTTTAGGCTTTTCTCATCAAGATTCTACAGAGACAGACGCGGCGGCCTGAGATTGGAGACAAATTCAGCAGCAGACATGGGCAAAAGGGGTGAGTTTTTCAAACAGAAGAGTGCAACACCCATCATTATAGACCTTTTGCCTGACAGTTATACGTATAATAAAATATTCAACACGATTTTCGGAGTTATCTGGACTTAACAATTCTGCAATTCTCAACTTAAAATAATTCAAACAGCTAAAAGATTTTATACCTTGTTAGATTGAGATTTATTAAAAAAAAAAAAAAAAAAACACAGACTCCGGTCTTCAGGCATGTTTTAGATTCCCCTCAGAGTTTGCATAGGTCTTGGTCAAAAGCTGTGCCATTTATAACCGGGGATCATGTAAAGGGTTTTTTATTCGCTATTTACTCTACCCAAATTCGCAATTAGCTAATCAAAAGCCTACTGTTTTGACATTCTGCGATATCAAGTCACTGACCTGACATTGCTGACCTGATATTGATGTATCAGCGTGCGGTAAATGCCGTATAATACCTTTTTAATACGTTGCGGTGGCTCTAGGTTCTTTTGGTCTCGTCATGAGTAGTTTGGCTTGACTGTGATTCGTCAAAATATGATACATTGCTCGACCAAACTCGCCATATATTCTGTCCGAGCCTACCAAATGGTGCAATTAGGTATACTGAGCAGCCCGTTTAACTAAGATTTCTCCCTGATTAAAGATAGCCATTAGATTATCGGTTCAGAATGCAGCATTAACGTAAAGCTTGCTTTGTATTTCAGAGTGTGTGGCTTAATTGTGAACCAGGAAGACATGCCCTTCACTGATCTGGTAGAGCTCTGAGTTTTTTTTGCTGCTGTTTCTGCTTTTTGTCTCATTCACTAACAACTTTCTATTCTTATTTCCCATAAAATAGGGCATCTGTCCAGACATTGTGAGTACCAGCTTTTACTCATTTTAACGTAACGTAAACCCAATGCAGTGTACGAGGGTGTGTTTGTCACTCGCGGCTCCGTCATGTCACTGATTCAGAGCTTGTTTATGTTATAGATTATGAACCCTCATGGCTTCCCGTCTCGGATGACTGTAGGCAAGCTGATTGAACTGATGGCTGGCAAGGCTGGTGTGTTAGATGGGCATTTTGGATATGGAACAGGTAGGAGATTCAAACAAAGGGAAATGTTTTACTTCACCGGGAGGAGAAGTTACAATTTTAAATTCCCTCTTTGTTGTCATGGAGCTGAACTTACATCTGTTGAGGCATTTTCATCTAAACGAGGAAGTCTCAACAACAACAGCAGCAGCAGCAGCAACAACAACAACAACAACAACAACAACACAAACAACAGCAACGACTAATTCTGAAGACATGATTGATCGTCGCACTTAAAGACTAACCCTAATCCTAGCCCAACAACAGCTAATTCTAGCTGGAAGTCACAACTGGTCACTCAGGCATTTTTATCTAAACCTAAAGTCTTTCATCATAGTACGACTTTTTTTTCTAGTGATAGCATGTTAGCTAAGCACTCTCGTACTCACAAACTGATTTGAAGATGATTTAGTGCAAGACACATAACGATAACAGAGGAGGGAACATTTTAGTAGTCACTTACATTGCTTCATTGAGGCTATTAAAAATTCTTGTTAGCCTCCCCTGTCGATGGAAATTAGAACCTGTAAAAGGTAGCCAAATATCTCCTATGTCTTATTTGACGACCAAACTTAGGGACCGTTCATTTTTTATGAGGGAGGGGGGGCTGGTGGGATTTGGGAAGCACCATTTAAAAATCGCATGACCCCCC